CTTTCAGACTCGTCTTCCCCTTCACACCATCTGAATCTTCACCACGTGATCCAGGATCCGCCAACCTTTCTTCCTTCTGTGCGTTTTTGGACCAGCAAACCACCCCTCAGTCTCCATCGAAGTCGAGACGAATATCCAGACCTCCCCCCCCTCGAACCAGATCCCAGTCCGTTCCCAATGCTACAATTCTAACAACTACCAAACCAGTACCAATCACACCGTCGACGACCATTATATCCGCTACCAAACCGTATTATCACCAAACCAAGGACAAATCATTATGGAAGCTACCCGCTCTAAAGAAATCAATCCTGGAATCATACGACCATGATCCCAAACCTACTACCATTATTCTTCATGTAGGCCTCAACAACCGTGATCAGCTACCAAAGACCTCCTTTAACCAAGCCCAGAAATTAATCGCCACAGCCAACAAAACCTTCCCAAACTCCAAGATCCTCTTCACATGTATACCCATTTCAAATAAAATCTCGAAGAAAGCACAACAGAACCTCAGCACTCTCAACAACATGATGATGGAGTCCAGTATCAACAGCGCAACAATCTTACCACCCTACGAAGAAGAATTCGAACCAGTTGATAATCTTCATTGGTCTCCAGAAACAGCAAACAGCATTTATTTGTTTTGGATACACCAGCTTCAAGCATCGAGTAAGTCTTTAAACTAATTACTGGGGATAAAAATACTGAGAGGCCACCGCTAGGCCAAACTGTAGTTAACTTGAGCCGCAAAATTCTCACACCCCATCAGCATTCAATCTTAGACCGTGGACTTAAATTTATTCCCACACCAAAGATAGCTAACTTGAATTATCTCCGACCATCCATTGAACAATTTCAACGAAATCTTAGCTGCACATATTTTTTTCGAAACCACCCCCCACGTGGTGCTAGAACAATGTTTATTCCTATATCCACGTGGACACCCCCTCAGACCGCCATCCATCCTGAAATATTGAAATCATTTGCGAGTATGAATAGCCAAACAGTGAACCTTTCCATAACACACGAAAAGCCTAATCTCACACGAGTGGAACGTGAAGCGTTAAACTTACTTAAGAAAGACGATAGCATTGTTATTAAAAAAGAGTGACAAAGGTTCATGTTGTGTTATTCTGAATAGGGAGGATTATGTTTCAGAAGCAGAGAATCAACTGAATAATCCTAAACATTATGCCATTTTACCGAAACCAATTTTCAAAGAAACTGCTATCATGATTAACAATATTCTTGCCGATTTAGTCAAAACTAGTTATCTCAAACAGAAACAATATGACTACCTGTGTGCCAAACCTGATTGTCGCGAGAGACATTTGTACACTTTGCCTAAAACCCATAAGAATCCAACAAAGGAGTGGTTTATCTCGAATAAAATCCCTAAAGGTCGCCCGATTATATCTGACTGTGGTAGTGAGTCATATGCAGTGTCAGAATACATTGATCATTTCTTACTACCTCTAGCATGTCAACATCGCGCCTACCTTAAAGACACAACCGATTTTGTCAATAAAATAAAAAATCTTCGAGTTCCCTGTAATGCTATTTTAATTTCTATCGACGTTTCTTCTATGTATACCAATATCGATAACACTACTGGTTTAACGGCAGTTCGTAAAGCTTTTAATAGAAACCCAGATCCAAACAGACCCGACGATGCAATTCTACAGCTTTTAGAGATTTGTCTTAGTCGAAACGATTTCACATTTAATGGTAAAACATATTTACAAACTTCAGGGACAGCAATGGGCAAACGATTTGCCCCTTCGTACGCAAACCTTTTCATGGCAGAGTGGGAACGTGAGGTGTTGCCCCTCTGTCCATTTGACCCACTTTTTTACGGACGCTTTTTGGATGACATCTTTATTGTTTGGACTTATTCTATCGAACAGTTTTGGGAATTCTTTGAAATTCTCAACAACCACCATCCTTCTATCAAACTAACCGCAAACGTGAGTGACAAAAGCATAGACTTTCTCGATACCACAGTCTTTAAGGGAGATTCCATAGCAGAAACAAATAAACTGGATATTAAAGTGTATTTCAAAGAAACTGATACTCATCAACTCTTGCACAAGAGCTCCTTTCACCCAAAACATACCTTTTCTGGTATAATTAAGTCACAAGTTTTACGATTTCATCGAATTTGTACAAGATCTTCCGATTTCAAACAAGCCTGTACGATTGTTTTCTCAAAACTGAAAGAGCGTGGGTACTCTAAACGATTTTTACGAAACATAAAAAATTCCACCTTAGCACAGATAGCAGCTAAAAACAGACATTATGCCGAGGTACCTCCAGGTTTAAGAAGTGCTCCATGTTTGTCCAGTAGATGCAAAACATGTCCCTTTATATCAGAAACTCATTATTTTGTAAGCAACTCTACGAATAAAAGGTACCCGATCCAGAAACATCTAACATGTGAACATTCGAATGTAATATATTTAATTTCATGCAAGAAATGCCCCAAACAATATGTAGGAGAAACTAAGAATAATTTACGAACTCGCTTTAATGCTCATAGGTCAGACATCAAATTAAAGAAAGACAAGCCTGTTTCTAATCATTTCAACCTCGACGACCATTCAATAGACGATCTCGCCCTAATCCCAATTGAGCGTATAGAAATTGACTTGCCCGAAGATGAAACTACCAAATTCCGTCAATCTAGAGAAGCCCATTGGATTGAGACATTGAATACAGCAAGACCTATAGGACTAAATATTCATCATAATGTAGGCATAGCACCCTTTGTTGTCCCGTTTAATACAACCAGCAATCGAGCAAGCAAGATAGTTCATGCCCACTACAAGAGCCTTCAAGAGAAATTCCCCCATGTCTATAAGCAGAAAATGATAGTTGCATATTCAAAAAATAAGAACTTAAATGATAATATTGTTCATAGTAAACTAGAAACAATCAGCACATAACAGATACTATACTTCTCGCCCATCGGGCGAGTTATTTTTTCTAATTTCAGATCAGAATAAGAACAGAAGAAAACCCAATATCAAGACCCTTAATCCTAATTTCTAAATAAAGTGTCTGCTCCACCCTAGGCCTGTACATTTGGGAGAATCAAACCCTCCCTTCCCCGAAATCTATTTACGCTCCAAGATTTAGTAGTATATTCTCTTCTCCATTAAGACTAAATAATAACAATCTGATATATTTGCCGATAAGCCCAACTTGTGCTATAGAGAAAACCAAAGAAACGGTTGTGTATGAAAGCGTAACAGACAGTATTGTATTTATAATTAAACATAATATACCTACAGGCCAAGATACGCTGAAACGTCTAAGCGGGTGCTCAGAGAATTCGAAATATAACTGTCTTTAGAGAAATCGATTTTCCACGTTTGATACATCTTTCGTTTGCAGCAGTAGCACCGCCAGATCTTAAAGAATGCAATCCAATATTCAAATGCGGTGCGATAGACTTTAATCTCTCAAGTATGTTTGCTCTAGCTGTGGAATAGATTAATTTCATATTCATATACTTTCACCTGAAAATTGGTTTAAAAATGTAATGATCTGATTTCAAATCTAAATTACACAAATCCATATACCGTTGTAAAATAAGCAATGGACATGCAACTGTGTTTCCTTTAGCAATCAAAATTTCATTTCCCTTTCTGTATTGATCTGTTTTACTGTGTGTTATGTTAATCTTTATATTCGTCATATAATGTTAAATCACAACATTTTAAGTTGCTTAGCTCGTCGTATCTTAAAAAACTTGCAAAACTCAAAACGATCATAGCCAAATCTCTTATTATCATTAAATCATTTGAATCCTTATGCATTTCACACAAATTTATGATTACTCCGACTGGAATTTGGTCCTTTTTAACAACTGGGCGGCCATTCACCCGTTTAACTGACTGTAACAAACACCTAACATAAGAATTCGATGTGGGGTCATCTAAAAGAGTTCAAATCGTGTGACCATTTAATTGCGTAAACTGCAGATTTTACCACGCTTGGTGAACACTTCGTGTCTATTAACGACGTTTATTATAGAGCTACGTGTATAGGTTGAGCCGGCAGATCAGGGATACCGTGTTTAACGCAAAATGACTTCCATCTATTAAAAGACGATAAGTAGTTCTTATTGGTATTTATTGGTCGCTTTTAGGATCCACCAAATAATTTGTTAGGTTACCGGCCAATTTGTCCAATTCCGGAGAAACTACGCTGCCTTCATCTACTGCTCTTTTGTCGTAATAGTCTAATCTCAATCCTGAAATTAAAATACAATGCGGAAAGCAATCATTCTTAAAGATAGAGGACGTTTAATTAACACTCCATTTTTGCCCATTCCCTTATTTATAAGTCTTGTTGGTGGCAAAACATAAAATCCTTTGACAAATTCTCTGTAATTATCGTTTTTTATACGCCCACATGAAATAGGGGCGTATATTGCCGTCACCCATGTCCGTCCACAATTGCTCGTAAACACTCATCTTGACGGATTTTGATAAAACTTCGTATGAATGTTCGTAATCACCTAAGGATGAACCCTATTGAAAATCAGAAGAATCGAACAATATTTAGTATAAGTTATTGCCCTTGTTCTTGAAAACGTGTTCAATTTTTAGCTCGAAAACACTCTAGAAGGCACGATTCTTGATGGATTTAAACGAAACTTTGCATGAGTGTTCGTAATCACCCAAGGATGAACCCTATTGAAAATCTAAAGAATCGAAAAATATTTAGTATGAATTATTGTCCTTGCGTTCAATTTTCAGCTCGTAAACACTCTAGAAGGCACAATTCTTGATGGATTTTGACGAAACTTGGTGTGAGTGTTCGTAATCACCCAAGGATGAACCCTATTGAAAATCAGAAGAAGCGAAAAATATTTAGTTTGAGTTATCGCCCTTGTTCTTGAAAACGCTTTCAATTTTTAACTTGTAAACACTCTAGAAGGGACAATTCTTGACGGATTTTAACGAAACTTGGCATGAGTGTTTGTTATCACCCAAGGATAAACCCTATTGAAAATGAGAAAAATCGTAAATATATTTAGTATGAGTTATTGCCCTTGTTCTTGAAAACGCGTTCATTTTTTAGCTCGTAATCATTCTAGAAGGCACAATTCTTGACGAAATTTGATGAAACTTGGTGTGAATGTTGCTAACCACCCAAGGATGAACTCTATTGAAAATCAGGAGAATCGAAAAATATTTAGTATGAGTTATTGCCCTTGTTCGTGAAAACGCTTTCAAATTTAGCTCTTAAACACTAAAAGGCATGATTGTTGCTGGATTTTGACAAAACTTGGTTTTATTATTCAGTCCAGCGCTGAAGATTGAATATTTGCCTTCTAAGAGTGTTCATGAGCCAAAAATTGAACAAGCTTTCAAGAACAAGGGCAATAACTCATACTCGATATTATTCAGTCTCGCCCTAAAGAGTTCAAAAGAAGTGTATGACTGAAAGTTGAATATTTCATACTGGATTGTTACTGTACTGCTAAATATTTTTATTCAAAATCAAAGCTGCCAGTGGGCGTATAGCATAGATCGACAACTACGTCACTAAATTGCGTGGTGTATATCACGTGATACGCAATAGAGTAAATGTAGTACAAACAATGGCGGCTTGTGAGAAAATCTATTCTATACAGCTAACGGAAACGATGTTCCTGGGGCCAAATTTCGAAGTGAAGATATATCAGAATAGTCAGTTGTCGAACTCAAGCGATGGTTAGAATGTCGGGGAATGTCTGTAATGGGGAAAAACCCCGAATTGGTTAAAAGGTAAGAAATTTGAATGCGTGTGCCCTATGGGGCTAGGCTGTCAATCAATGTAAACAAATGGCCGACATGAATTTTGAAAAACGAATTTGTGTCTGTTATATTTTCAAATATGCCTTTTGTGCCTTGAAAGCGGTCAGAATTACTATTTAATCGTAAAGTAATAAATAAAAAACTTTGATAACAACGTATTGAATATTACATAATATTGTGCATACATGGTGGTGGTGTTTCAACATGATGAAATTATTTTATGTCAGTAAATGGCATGAATGACCATTATTAGACCTATAGTGCATTTTATGTCTCTGGTTGAGATTAATTAATTTTATAAACAATGGTGAAGTCATTTAATAATATGTTAAAATAAATGCATGTTGTGTTATGATAAATTTAAAAGCAAGATTTTTTCCTCTTCAGGTGTTCAGAATGTATTGAGTTTAAGAAGACGGACATATTAATTTCTGTAGATGGTGGAATATGGTGTGAACAGAAAGTTAGTGCTGTTTTAAATGCTGCTCGAAGTAATTCACCAGCAAGTAATATTCCACTGTTACCTGCTAGTGGCTGGCAAAAATTTCCATCGGGTACAATTCCAAAAGGTTTTTGTTATGGCAGAATATATGAACACATCATACAAACCGCTAAAATATATCAGAAGAGTAGTAAGGCATCTGATAGTGAATGTGAAGATGATTTGCTGGACTTCAATACCTCAAAACAATCTTTGGCAAATAAAATTTTATGGCCGATTTTAAAATAAAATCCAGACCGGAAGTGATACTTTGGCCGCCATATTGAAAAAACACACTTTTGTAAAACTCAAAATGGGGCCTCAGGGTAAAAGTTGATATGCTCAAATTTGATGTGAATGTATTCTGCAATCGATTGCGCAAAAAACATTGGGAGCCGAATTTTGAATTTCGCTTTTGCTTTTTTGCAACTTCCGGTTGAAATTTTTTAAAGCTTTAAACGATCACACCATGTGACCTTGACCTTTGATGACTTTGACCTTCATAGGGTCAAAGGACATTGACCTTGGCTATCGTTTGATACTTTGACCTTTGACCTCCGACATGTACTTCCGGTTTTATAGCTATCCGTAAAAAGCCAAATTTGCAACTTTGGACTGCTCTAGCACGTGACCTAATTAACCTAGAAGGTTAATTTTTTTGGTTTTGTAATGTGCTTCTCGTGCACTTTACATAGATATAGAACAATTGCTTTTTTGAAGCAAAATTGAAATTCGTGATTTTTTTCAATTTTGAGTTTAGTTTTACCATATTTGTGTCTTTTTGATCTTCGTGTATGTATATCTTATGACCTATTCTATGTAGAACCTTGATATTTGGAATACAACTAGACACTTTGAATATGAATTCACCTATGACAAAAAAACTTATGTGGGCGTGGCATATCCGGGTTGAATTACTAATTGTTTACATTTTGGGGCTGGGGCATAACTCGCATAGGATGCGTTTGTTCAAAAAGAGACTTTGCACACAATTACCTCATCCTTTTGGCCAGTATGTATTAACAGCTCAGTTGTTTCAGCTTTATAGTTTCAAAAAAGGAACGGGTTTTAACATTTGGATATTTTCATTTTTCGATTTTGACCTTTGTTGACTTTTGTTGACCTATTTCTTTTGACCTCTATTATGTAGGAACTTGACATTTGGAACATAACGTAACATTTTGAATATTGATTAACTTATTCAAAAAAAATTGAGTTGGGCGTGGCACTTCCGGGTTAAATTACTCATTATTGACATTTTTGGCCAGGGGCATAACTCGCAAAGTATACATTTGTTCAAAATGGAACTTCTTACACAATTACCTCATATTTTGAGCCACTTTGTCTTAGAATTTCGGTTGTTTCCGCTTCTTAGTTCAAAAAAAGGAACAGGTTTTGGAAATTCAAAATTTTCAATTTTTGACCTTGAC